TCCATACATACATCTTTGAAACATCTAAACAAAGATTTTTTTTTTCAAGGTTCAAAATGTCAGATTTTCTGGTCCTTATTGCGTGTTTTTATTATGACTGAGGTTGTTCTGTTCTGGCAATCTTTTTCATAGTAGATGTAAAACATTTTTCCAACGAAATTAGTTAAGATATAGGGAACAAGTAACGAAACCAACTAAAAAATTGTGATATTACCACCAGGGATCATTTAAGGACTATTTTATGCTAAACCATCTGTATATCCATGTCAGTCACAGACACACTGAAAGAACCAAATGTAGAACAGAAATAATCAGAATTGATCTGACTTTTTGGCGGAGGAGGGCAGAAACACTCAATGCAAGTGAAACCGCTTCTTTCGGCAGTTTTGAGCTCAGTTTATTAGACACATACAGGATAAATATTCAGGCCTCAGACACACAGGAAGAGACAGAAAGGAGTCACACGCCGGCATCAACAGCTGTTTAAATCCAACACTGTCCATTCTCATTATTTTTCCACTCTTTTCTCACCGTATGGGCTTATTTGATTTCATGATAACATCCCTGAGAAAGAAATGGGACGGCTGATGTGTCCTGATCGAATTCCTCCTTTAAACGTTTCGAAAAATCCAACGACATGAAACAAGTTCTCCATATCTAAGTCTAACCGTCCAAACCACAGAAAGAATAAATCTACCTCACTACACCGTGTTTAACGATATTTTAGACCCGATCACACGACCATAATCCCAGGATATTAAAGTTATTTAGGTATTCCTGATTAAAGACCTAGTTTTCCTAAAGTTTTAAGCAAATCAAAGCAAGTGCTGACTGTGAACTGAAGTGGAGTAAAAACAGCGTCCTGCTTCCCAGAATCTGACAGAGCTGCACTTTGAGGTGGTTTTCGATTTTAAAAAAAGCACTTTCCCTGATGGGATTTGATATAAATATAGAGCAGCTCCCCTGCTGTTGTGCTAAGTGTGTGAAAGCAGGTGCAGAGAGCCCTGCTGGACCCTGATGCAGAGGTATGCCGCCACTCAGCTCCAAGGCGCTCAGCTCCACGCCGGCCGTGTCGGCCATCCGTCTGGCGGTGCCGGCGTCCAAGGGCTGCGAGGCCGCCGGCTTACACAGCAGCCATTTTGCTGGCCTCTCGGACCCCGCTCAGGTAGGCCCCCGTCACGGTCTGAGGGAAGTGTCGGTTGGTGGCCTGGTGGGAAAATAAATGACAAATAATGAAAGGTTAAACCTGGTTTAAAACCAGTGGAATCAAACACAGTCACATATTGAGCATTAGCTGGGTTACTGATGCTCAGAGCCTAAACACAGCCAGCTGGACTTCTTCTTCTTGTGAGACTTTTCTCCTCACATCCTGATGCTTCTTGAAGCCTGAATCCTGAAACAGTCAGCGGACTCGGTGAGCTGGTGATCCGTTTCCTGTCCTCACTGAGTTTAAGTGACAATATTCAGCCCGCAGAGTTCATTTTATTTTCTCATTTCTTTTGTCACCAACTGGTTGAGGTAGTTTGGGTTGGGCAGGCAGCTGGACTTCTTGGAGCTTAAAGAAATCTCTGTTTTCATCCTGAAACTTCTTAAGGGGAGGGCTCAGTCGAGGGGTCAGAGATGGTCGATTGTCTGAAAGTCAGTTAATCCTGACCAGAGGAAAAAAGCCCAAAGAAGAAGAGAGCTCTACTCCCTGATTGGCCGGAACAGAAAACAGGAATTCAGCCCCTCTGGCCAGCTTGTCGTACACAGCAAAAACACCAAGTTTCTGTTGCCTTTGGGCTTCAGCTTGAATCCAAATCTACTCCATTTAGTAATCATCTTCCTTCTCTGTGTATTACAGGAGCTGTGACATTTTGGAGTAATTCAAACTTTTGCCAGATGTTGCGTTTGATCTGGTTTTAATTTCAGCACCCGATTGGTGCCTGGTTTTAGGATTCTTACTGCTGCCGGTTGAATCTCTGGTTTTGTGCTGGTTCGGGTGTGTTTTAAGCAAAGCGTGAAAACGAGCTGCCAAATGGCGGCGTTGGGCGGCTCAGGAGGAGGCAGGAGAGTTACCTCTCCGGCGAAGAACAGCTTTCCCTGCACGTCCTCGGCCAGCACGTCGTAGGCCTCCCCGCTGCCGCCCGTCTTCACAAAGCTGTAGGACATCTGAGACCACCTGTCTTTGCTCCAGTGGGTCACAAAGTAGTTCACAGGGTCTGGGACGTCCTGTGGGAGGAAGAGGACCTTTAATCCACAAGCGGAGGGGAAATCCCATCCAAAATGAGGCGAGACAGGTTTATGTTACAGTTTGAGTTTTGTGTCCACGACAACTCAAAGTACCTTACATTTTAAAAGCAGACAATGAAGATAAAGAAAACAAATAAAAATAAGTTTAACCAAATAAAATAAATAGATTAAAGGCTAAAAAAAATTCAGCTGTAGTAACCCTGTTTCACCTCTTCAAGAAGACCGATTCAGATTTGAGGAGCATCAAACTGAAATGAAGCCTCTCCTGGTTTGGTTCTGACCTCTAAGAAATCAGGTGTGTTTTAAGCTGCATAGTTAATGGTTCTGATGCTGATAAATATGAGAGAAGTGGCCCAAAGAGCCGATGATCACAGGGAGGGCTGAGGGTGATCCCTCCACAGGGATGAATGGAGATACAAGCAGAGGTCGGGGCTGTGGGGCCAGGAAAGGGTTAATAACCCTTTAGTTTTCTACCCTTCCATCATCCATCGCTTATCTGTGGTCGGGTTGGGGGGCAGCATCTTAAGCAGGGAGATGGTTCAACTGGGGAATGATACACTTGAGTTTAGATGTCTTAACTGAGTTTATGCAGCGTCCAATCAGATCTCCAACAAGGATAATAATGAGTCTGCATACCCCTCAGCATGTAGCTAGTTGCTCCCCTGGTAGTCTCAGCTGACCCTTGACCCTCTATGCTGTGGCCGACCGGACCCCTGACCGGTGCTCACCTGCTCGGGGAAAAGCTCCCTCAGGACCTTCAGGCACTCTCCCACCACCTCCTGGTCCTCCAGCTCGCAGACAGCAGGAACGGCGTCGCCAGAGATGACCGACATCAACACCGCCTGCTTCCCCTGTTGGACACAGTTACATCAGCCAGGGCCTCAAAGGGTCTGAGCTTGGTTTCAGGGATCGGATACCCAGAACCTCACAGGACTGGGTCCTTCATTCTCCTCCCAGTCTAAACACACACATCTGGAGCAGATACTCAGACTCCCATGATGCCTCAGTGACCCTGAGGGGGAGGAGCCGACCCTCTGATCCAGAACCAGTCGGCTCCTCCTTGGTCATGGCTTTCAAAACACACCTGAGGGTCCAGGTCGTAGAAGACGCTGAACAGGCCTCGCTTTTCCGGTGCCGGCGGGATGTGACCAAAGTAGTCGGCTCCCTGGATCTTGGAGTCCCAGAACCGGGTCGGGAACTGCAGAGCGATCTGCGGGACGTTCGGACTGAGGTTTAGCTGCTGGGCACCGACAGCCTCTGGAGGCGGGCCGGCGGGGATGGGAGGTACCTTTTCGATGATGCCGGCTCCCAAGCTGTGGATGGCCTTCAGCTTCCTCTCAGGAAGGGGGGGGTGGAAGTGGAGGAGGCCCCTCTGGAGCAGGGTCAGCTGGACGGTGACCAGAACCTGGAAGAGATAGCAGCCCGATGAGGACTGGATCCCTGAACAGAACCTGCCCTCTGAATCAAACATATTTCTGTCCCCCATATCATCCTGTCCTGGTTTTGGTTCTGATTAACTTTTTCCCTAGTTCTGAAGGAGGTTTCTTCTGGTTCTGATGGAGGTTTGTTCCTGGTTCTGGTCCTGATGGAGATCTCTTCCTGGTTCTGCTGGTGTCCTTGGTTATGAACGAGCTGGACCCATTTGGAATACCTGGATCCTGACGGCTTAACTGAACCGGATCAGAGGTGAAATCTTTTGTCATCTGCTGCTTTAGAGATGAACCTGAACCCAGAGCCTTTGGTCCTGTAACCCAGTGGGCTTGTTTCAGAGCCTCTACCTTCTGGGCCATCCACTGCGACCCGTTTGATGAGGTCACTTTCACGAGGTCCCCCGAGTAATCGACCGTCTAGACCTGGAAACAAAAACCCATTTCAGTAGATGCAGACTGATCTGTGGTGCCACCGGGTCCAGAAGGGGGGCACGAACCGGACAGTTCCTGTGGATCTCCAGGCCCTCGGCCAGTTTGTTGAGAAGAACCGAGTAGCCCCTGGTCAGCAGGGTGTGGTCTCCCGAGAACTGGGCAAAGAACTCGTTGTGGTCCCAGGACCGGGCCGAAACCTGCACACAGAACCAGCATTTTTAGTCCAGTGAGACTAAGGGGGAGGGGGGCTTTGTGGGCCGGTTCTGTTAAACTCTGACACAAGGAGTCTGTGAGGGGAGGGGCCGTTAAGGGGGGAGCTATTAAGGGGAGGGATCCTTAATTATCGGCGGGGCCGATAATTAGGGGAGGGATCGTTAAGGGGAAGCTGTTAATTGAGAGGGGGCACAGTCAAGAGCCCTGGGGGGGGGCCCTGAATGATCCCACAAACCAGCCAGAGGAGGAAGGACGCCATCTGACCGGTTTGAGCAGATCAAATAAAGAGCATCTGTCTGACCCCTGAGCAGAGGAGGCCTTCCAGACCTGGTCCAGGGTGCTGCCACAGGCGTACTCCAGATTACTGAGATGAAATTGAAGGACTTTCTCCTCCAGCGCACTGAACTGGATCCCAGACTCCTGCAGAAAGTTCTTCTTTACTTCCTGAACCTTTTCTGTGGGGACAAAACACAAAAACCACAACTTTAATTAGTTCATGGAGCCGAACCCCCAAACGAGGCCAAAGAAGAGAAAGTGTCCTTAAATTTTCATCGAGAACAAGGATAGGTCCCATTTAAAGAACTTTGAGGCAAACTAAGACAGTTTAGGACTGACAAAAGTTACTCTTTTCAATTGCTCCTTCAGGGGGAAATATGCTGATAAAAAAGGAATCATTCAGTAAAATTTGCTAATGGCTTTGCAGGAATTTAGGGGATTTTTCAATTAACACAAGTCAGAGGAAACAAACCTTAGATGATTTAAAATAAAGAGACTTCAAAGGGCTGAAATCATCCGAAAAGAAAAAGAAAAAAGTTTCTTCAAAAGGGAAGAAATCACCCTTTAAGCTGCCCACTCAATAACCAGGTTTAATAAGATCAATGAGGTTTGGTTATTAAACAGCTAATAAAACCCAAAAGGATCACAGATGGCTGATTAACGGCCTTGTTTTTATTGATCTAATGTTTCCTTTACGTCGACCCAACGCCGGCAGGTTCCAGGAGGAGCGAACGAGGGATGGTTTAACCCACCAGACAGAGGGGTGGGAGTGGAATGAGACAGGAAAAGCCATGTGTGGCCACACCTCCCAGCGGCCTGTCCTGGCTTTGAGACTTGTCCTTCCTCCATTCGGACACCACATCCAGGATGGCGTTGAAGTGGAAGTCCATGCGTTTGTCGATGGCTGGGTCGGCCACCTGCCCGCCCTCCTGGAAGAGGTCACAGCGCTCCCCCAGCTTGTGCATTTTCAGGCCCATCTGCAGCAGAGACGCACAAACAATGGGCCAAAGCAGAGCTGCAGCCAAACCGGACGTCACAGGACGCTGTCTTCGGAAAAGCTCTAACCTGAACACAAAGTCAGAAACCTGGTCCCTTCACATCAATACACATTTGATTACTTTCACCTTTCTGCATCCAGCAGACGCTTTTATCCAAAGTGACTCAGGAAATAAAGGTTTAACATTCAGCTCCAACTCCAGTTCCACTTTAAGCGTAGCTTAAGAATGATATGCTAGAAGAGGATTTAATATTAAGGGTTTAACATTCAACTAGAACATGGATTACACAGGTAGCATCCATTGATGCTACATGCTATCAGGACAAAAGAGCATTTAGAGCTTTAGGACCAGATATACTCCGGAAGGACCATCTATCTATCTATCTATCTATCTATCTATCTATCTATCTATCTATCTAGATGCTCTGATGACTCTTGTGAGTTTGTTCCACCAGCGAGGATCCGCAGTGAGAAGAAGGGAGTCCAGATACGATCCAGAACTCGGGAGCTCTCACCTGCTCACACATCAGGGCGATCGGGTTGTTGACGCATCCGTTGACAATCTGGGCTCCCCGACCCACGGTGAGCCCCAGGGACGCGTCGTCCCACACCCAGCCGCCGATTCTGTCCCTGGCCTCCAGCACCACCACCTGTAAACCGAAGGGGGGATGTAGTGTGACTATCAGAACCAGACTAGTCACCGAGGGAAGGACACAGGGCTCTGTCTGAGTCCAGGGAGGAAACAGGAATCCATTACTGCTTGAAGGTGTTTATTTTGGCCCTTCTGGTATAACATACTTTTTGACATAATTTTGAATAGACTTGCAAGATGGAGAACTTAAGGGAGAGGAGTTTGGAAGAAGCTGGAGGTGTGAGAGAGCGCACCTGGAAGCCGAAGTTGTGCAGCTGGCGTGCCGCAGCTAGTCCCGACGCACCGGCGCCCACGACCACGACGGCCTTCCTCTGCACAGGACGAGTAGACGTGACGGGTGAGAAGGATGGGGGGGGGAACAGGGTGTGTGTGTGTGTATGAGGGGGAAATGAGGTGGGGAACAGGGGTATGTGTGAGGGGGAAACAGGGAGTGTGTGAAGGGGAAACGGGGGAGTGTGTGAGGGGGAAACGGGGGGCGTGTATGAGGGGGAAATGGGGAAAGTGAGGGGGAAACGGGGGCGTGGCAGGCTCATAGCACAGCATGCCTCCGACAGCAGCGGCCGCTCCACAGCCAGCACGCCGGTGTTGATGAGCCCCTTCTTGGTCATGAAGCGGAGCACCCGGTCTAGCTCCTGCACGCAGCGCACACGCACCAGCCCCCGAACCACGATGTGCTGCGCACACCTCTGAGCCGTCAGCACCTCCTGCACAGACAATTACAAAAAAATAAACAGAATTTATGCGATTTGTTTTACAATGAACACGAGTCAGGGAAAAAAACTGAGCTGATTTTAAGATGAAGAGACTTCAAAAGGGCTGAAATCAGCACAAAAAAGGAGAAAATGTGGCTTTAGGTGGAACAAAGAGGGTCACCATTCACCTTCAGACGCTCTAAAACTAAAAAGCAGGTTAGAATGAACCAGCATGCTGGACTCAGACCTGCATCAGCAGCTTTTTAGCATCTGAAAAACACCAGAAGAACTCCAGCTGAAACAGTTGCTCACTGGGCTCTGATCCCACTCTTATCCAGCTGCAGATTTAGTTAGTTTTATGCCCCTAAAATCTGGATCAGTCTTCCTGAAGAGGAGAGACAGAACTCAGCTCTGAATGTTTAAATCCAGGCTTAAAACGTCTGTTTATCTGTGATCTGAAGGCTGGAAATCTTTAGTCTCTTCACTTTTAATTTATATTCCATTGATTTGCTTAATGTTGTTCAGCTTCTTCTCAATTTCCTGATTTAAACGTTTAATGAGGTTTTCCTCTTAAATGTCATGAGTACAGCACTGCTACTCAGATAAATCTGACTGGCCCTGAGGGCGACTTTGCCCACAGGCTGCTGCAGGCTTACCGTGCACTTCCTGTGCCAGGATCAGGTTACGCAGGGCCAGGTACATGGTGGGGTCGCGGGAAAACTCTGGGAACTCGTAAAGCTCGTCCAGCTCCATCATGTCCGGCCGCACGCACAGGGCCTTGCCGCACTCGTTGGGCTGGTAGAAGGGCTGGAAGTATGGGCACAGGCCTGGAACTGAGGGCATAGCCACTGTTAGCCACAGTTAGTCACAGTCAGCTGGTTAGCTACAGTTAGCCATTTAGCCACAGTTAGTCACAGTAAGCTGTTTAGCCACAGTTAGCCAGTCAGCCACAGTTAGCCTCAGTCAGCCTAAGGGTCCTGCTCCCACCGGCTATGTGCTCTTACTCTGCGGCTGCACGGCTCTGCAGGGATCCGCCCTCAGCTCAGCCAGCGACACGCTGCCGGGCGAGCCAGATGGACTCATCCCCACGCAGTCCGGGTAGTAGGCGGCCAGGAAGGGGCTGGCCGGGCTCTCCTTCAGCAGCGGTGGCAGAATCAGCATCGAATGCCACCAGCTGTCCGTCACCTCGGACACTCTCTGCGGGGACGACACAGGAAGCAGATCAGGGGAGGCTCTGCTCGCCATGCAGGCGAGCAGAGCCGGAGCCAAGGCAGCTGGACTGCTTCTGGGAACCTGAATACAGCTCATCCCTCATCCAGAAAGATGGTTTCTATAGAGAAACTGGCTGCGGACCATGCCTGGGTGAAGACGCATCAGCTCTGTGGCTAACAGGGAATGATTAAGCCTGAACCTGAGGGATGGGAGCCTCAACATGTTTACAGGAACTTTTCGGCTCACATCGGCCATTCAAACACAAACTGGCTCATCACAACCCTCCACCTCCAGGCTGTGGGTGCGTGTACACCCAAAGACTCCCACCAGCTGTCCCAGCCGGACGTTTGAACGAGAAAAAACACTTCTCACTTATTCATTGTATTACTTATCTGTTGTGTTTTTCCATTTCTGCTGCTATAATTTATCACTTTAAACAACTGCTCAGTACATTAGTTTCATTTAGCTGCTTTAAGCCGACTCCCCCTTTAAGAAGCATTCAGGATGAGAGGAGAAACGCCTTTAGGATCCAAGAAGAAGAAGAGGTCCAGCTGGCTGCTCAACCCAAACTACCTCAACCAGCTAGTGACAAAGGAAATGAGAGAATAAAATTAACTCTGCTGGCTGTATAATGCAGAACCTCTACTTAAGTTATGGTATGTCCTGTATCTCAGTCTCCACCTCTACTTCCGTTCTTTAGCCTCTGTGGAACGAATTATAGGAATTACAGTGTATTCTGATGGGAATATTTGAACCAACATACAAATATTTTAACATACAAAGTAGGTTCTGGAAAGAGTTAAATTTGTATGTAGAGGTTCTACTGTATTGCCAATTAAGCTCAGCAATGACAGGAAAGCTCACCGAGTCCTCTGGCTGGGAGCAGTGGTCGGGTCCCTCGCTCTGCAGGCAGACAAACAGACAGACGGGGTTTTAACAGGAATGCTCAGAAGCAAGCAGAAAGCGGACGCTTTTTAGGGGTTTTCTTCCTGCTCACCTTGACGTTGCCGAGCTTCATCCCGCAGCGATACGTTGCTGCCAGTGAGGCGGTGAGCTGGATGTCCTTGGTCAGCTGACGCCACTTCCTGCAGTCCGGCTTGGTGCACTGAACCTGAAGGGAGCAAGTCAGCAGGGAGAACATATCTGAAGATCCTCAGTCCTGCAGGTCAAGCTTGAAAAGTCACATTCAGGCAGCTGGAGGTCAAGTTTTCCTCTGATCCAGAAGCTTTTTCAGCTCTAACTGATTGTGAAGCTCTGAAGTTAATATACTGTAGGTGGAACTAAAGAATTAGGGGAAAATGTGGCTCTGGTCCCTCCTGCCGGGGGGCCATGGAGGTCACCTGGGGGGTTCATGGTGGTTAGGGGGCTCTGATGGGTCGGTAACTCCCTGTCAGAGTGGTTCGGGTCACATATTTGAGAGCTGAATCTGCTGGTTGTTGTTCCTGAAAGTGTTCTGGAAGGAGATGACAGCTTCTGTCTGAGACCAGCACCTCAGGTGAGTCATGGTTTCTCCAGGTTAACAAAGATGGCTTCCTGGACCCCTCTTTCAAACCAGCTGTCTTCCTGGGCCAGAATGTGGATGTTGTCCTCCTCAAACGAGTGTCCTTCAGCCTTCAGGTGAGCAGCTGAGTCCTGTCACCTTCGCTTTTCCCATAATTCTTTAGTTCCACCTACAGTATATTAACCTTAGAGCTCCACCATCTGTTAAAACTGAGGAAGCTTCTTGGATGAGAGGCCAAACGTCTTCTAGAAAACTTCACGTCCAGCTGCCTGAACTGAACTTTGATGTGATGCAACTCGGCTTTGTGAGGGAAACCTCCGGCACGCACCCAGAAGGGCAGCAGCTGGTCTGCCATGAAGGCCTTAAGGCTGGGTTCGCTCTTTCCATTGCTGGTCCACACCTTCTTCCAGGAGGCAAAGGTCTCATAGCCGTCTTTGTGACTGTCGGGAGGGGGGGGGGCAGAAATGGGCAGCGTTACTGTCTCATTCCTGACACCCCAAACACAAGCCGTGCCGCTTTCCCTCTACCTTCTGTAGTAGTGGTCAAAGCACTCATTGCAAAAGTGCTCGCCGCACGACAGGTGATACCAGCGAGACGTGTAACCGTTTTTTGCACACCTGGGGAGACAAGAGGCACCGGCATTAATGGCCATCGCAGCGGGCGGCGGACCAGGCCCATTCCTCCCAGAATACCTTTCTGATGCACTTGCAAAGCAGACGGGGTACACGGCGGAGCAGCCTGCCTTCTCACATTTTCTGTACTTCTTCTCCGACTGTTCGTCTTCTTCTTCTGTGTCTGTGGCCTTTCTTTTGCTCTGTGACCCAGAAAAGAATATTTAAATGACCAGAGCAGAACAAAGAACTCCTGTTAAAAAAAGGCCTTTTTCGTCACTGCTTAAGGCTTTTTATGACACGTGAGCGTATATGTACGCATACTTTGACCAAAGAAGGGGGAATCCATTTGTAAACACGGCACAGGTGGAGACACGTTCACATTACCCAGCTCTTTAAATGAGCCAAACAAATGTCAGCCTCCCACTTTAGCTTGTAGCATGTAGCGAACACCGACCTGCGTCCGAAAGCATCGCCACCAGCCGCCCCTCTTCACAACCCAGGGGTTTTTCACCAGCCGTTTGCTTCTCTAACGCCTCAATGATCTCCTGAAAGCGCGTCTCTTTTATTGTTGTGGGGAGAAATCAATGCGCCGCCGTTATAAAAGAGAGACTTCCTGTGTGAACGAGGAAATAGGCGTTTTGGTTCGGACCTTTTTGGACTCCGTTGCTCTCCGTACTGCTGTTGCACTGTAGCCATGGCAACAGCAGAAAGCTGTAAGGTCCGGGCATTGAAAACGGAGCGAAGAAGTCAGAGGCGGTGCGGCGGAAAACGCTAGGGAGGCGGCGGGCTCCTCCCACCTCTCTTCTTCGTGCTGATTTTGACAATTAAAATGATCGCAATTAGTCATACATAAAGATCGGCGGACAAATAATAATATGTCATCGTATGTTTTGTCTTGTGAGGATGACCGCACGTCCCATAAATATATATACACAGCTATATAATTGCAGTCTCTGTGGCTGTGCAAGTTGAAAACCTTGGGAAAGAAACATTTTTCTCAGATTATTACGTACGTTGGCACTCGGCATGCCCTACCGGTAGCCCCCTACCGGACCCCGGCACCGGTAGCCCGGTGTCCCGGTAGCTCCGTGCCGCCGCCCGCCCCCTAAATGTTTAAGATATTTGGTTGAATCTGCTTTAGTTTAGATTCTGATTGGTTTGTTTTTAGTCATGTGACTTGTTTTTAGTCATGTGACAAAAACAAGGAAGTGGGCGGGCTACCGCGATACCGCGGTAAAAGACGAAAAACGGAAAACCGGGAATACCGGGAAAACCGGGGAATATCGGGGAAAACGGCCACCGGGGGGGGAGACCCGGACCCCCGACCCCGGTTGGATATCACTGTCAGAGTAGACCCGCACCGAACCCCGGTATCGCGGGAGCCCTAGGACGCAGTAGCCCGGTAGCCCCCCCTCCGGCCCCGGTAGCCCGGTTGCCCGGTAGCGCGGTTGCCCGGTAGCCCCCCCCTCCGGCTCCTTACCTTGTTCGTGCGTTGCAGTGAGAGTCCGCCATCTTGCCATTTGAGCCAATTTAAATCACTCTGGAATTTGGAAAAAAAAAAAAATCAGGGGTTTTCAAAACATTTAGGGAAACTCCAGATGGGAAAACAAGTAAAAGTTTTAAAATGACATTTAGTCTTTCAAATCTTCATTTTAAACTGTAAACAAGGAAAAAAGTACAAGTAGCTTATAACTGTACTTATAATATAGAATGAATATGACTGTTTTAAAAATATAAAGTAAAATTTAGGGGGACATTATCGCTTTAGGAATGCTTTTATTGTTGAATATGTTTCTGTCCGTGTACAAACATTTAAAATCTCAGCACTTTGAGTCAGACTCTGTCTGACTCAGAGTGCTTGTCAGGGGTTTTTCTCAAATACAATATTCAGCACAAATATTAACAATTGTAAACATAAAACAACTCCACATTACATTGCACTAATTAGATATTACAAAGCTTGCCACTGCTTTTCTGACTGATGCTGAGCCCAGTTCTGTTCTCTACTTTTGCTTTCAGCATATTCATCAGCGCGCACACTAACCAGTAGGATGACTAAACATTTAGGTATGGTCATTTTCATGGGACAGAAAGATGTTTGGAATTATTTATTGTGTGCAAAAGTTTCTAAAAAAGCCTTTAAGGGAAAGGCAGTCAAAAAGTGGACTGTTACCTTATCTGTGAACACTGCCGCCTTCTATGTGCAAACACATAATGCTTGACTTTATCCCTAACCCAACTTCTCTTGTCTGTGTCATTTTTCTTCTTAAACTAACAAATCCCAAGGTAATTTATAGCATAGAGGGTTAATCACCTCCAGGTAACCACAGATTTAATTTAACATAAGGGTGATTTTCCGATGAGTCTGAAAGAAGTTGTTATAACTTGTTTAAACACACATTTGCTTCGATTTGGGTGTTAATCTCCCACTGTCCAAAAACATGCATGTTGGGTGAATTGGGTGAATTTATTTACAAATTGCCCAGTCGGAGTGAATGTGAGCGGGTGTGGTTGTGTGTCTCTGTGTAGCCCTGTATGGGGCTGGCGACCGGTCCCAGGGTGTACCCTGCTTCTCCCCTGTTGTCAGATGGGATAGGCTCCACGTTAATTTGAAGGATATATGGCGTACTGTATACTGTTAAGCCAGAGCTGATAAATACCTATGAACATTGCAGACTGTTTTAATGGATGACTGACTGTTGATAAAGCACTATACTCAAAAGTCATGTTACTGGGATTTGCAACCAGAATTGAAGGGGTAAAAAAAAGGGGCATAAAAAAGAGATTTAAAAAAAAGTTTGCACAGTTGATGGTTATATTGAATAAATGTGATCAAATAGAGACATTGTCAGCACTCTTCTTTTTGTACCTGTTTTCTTCTTTTTTTTTGTGCCTGACCACAGTGCAGCCAAGGATATAGGTGGTTTGGAGGCCGTGGTGGCAAACTCTGCCTAACTCGGCACGTGGAAGCATGGATGGGTGCGCAGCGGCCGTTATGCGTGACAAGAAGATGCGTGCCAGGCTGAAGCTCCCACACATCAGACACTGCGAGCACACGAAGGCATGTGTAGACACAACCTTTGACAGCATGTGTGTCAAAACAGCCCATTGGCAGGCGCCTGTTCCAGCAGTCCCTGGAAAGTGATCCGAACCATAAAAGAAGCTGGAGAACAAGAGGCTGAAGAAACGCAAAGGCTATGAGGTACAGCACTGATGGCATTCAACGTTCCACCAAGAAGCACACAATCAATCATATTTAGTTATGATCGTCCTCATGGCGACCTCAAACGAACACAAAGAAGGAAAAAGCAACTGGAGACAGTACTGAACAGACAGCAGCTCACTTATTTCAGAGTTGGACGTGATGTCTCTTCTCACTACATGAACACTGCTGACACTTTGAAGAATGGACTTTCCCTTGTAATTCTTGGAATAGTCTAAAACCATTTCCTGGATGGGTTTACCCAAGCCATGGTTATTGGATCATCTCAGAAATATTTTGCCCTCATTATTTCATTCATTGGAGATTGCATTTTTCAATGTGCAGGTTAAAAAACATAGCTTTGTTTTTAGATATTGCCTTTTGTGTCTTAAGACCCAATTGTGTAAAAAATAAAAACAAATAAAAACAACAAACAAATGTCAGACTGGACCCGTGGTTCCCTTTAACGTGTAAATGTAAATGTAGCTGACGCATCATATTTATTACACAAAGAGAAAGTCTGTGTAAATTAGATGTTGACAAAAGTTGAGTTCATTGTGGTGACTAAGTAGGAAAACATTTTTTAAAAGTGTCCATGAGCTTTTCAGAACTATATGCAGTTGGGGTTCAGGTGGTCGTCGTTCACAAGCCTCCCGAGGCTCCCGTCTTCTGCCGAAGCATCGACGCTACCAGAGAAAGAGAAACGAAAACAGACGACGATGGAGGAGAGTCGAAGCGGCTCATTCAAACTGTTGCCCCTAGGCTGGTTTGTGGATGGTTTATCTTTTGAAACTCACCTCCAGTTTGTCCGACTCAACGAGAAGTCAAACACAAAACCATTCAGAGTGTCTCTCTTCCTTTGGGGGTCTTCATGTCGAGAGATCTCTCCCCGGTACTCGACAACAAAGCTGGGAGGTTCGATGGACTCGTTGGTGAACACTCCTCTTCCTGGAGAAACAGACATTGGGGGTCATCTCAGAAAAAACTGCTCCATCGTTTGTTCCTTCAGGATTCGACGGCTGGAGTTCTTTAATATTGTTCTGACCCCAAAAACCCTCTAAAAAAGCTGCCGGCTGATCCAAAATCTGCTGAGAACCAGCAGCAGCTTTCAGGTATCAGCCCCCACCCTCTGAGGAACCAGTCTGGGTTGTCTGGGCATTGTTGTCATTAGTTGTCATTTACTTTTTTTCTCTCTCTCAGCAGGTACCTCTGGCCTGGTTCCTCATTCCTGTCCACCAAAAATCTTTTTAAACAATAAAATTTATATAAAAAAAGATGTATTAAACAAATTAACAAAATTAAAAATAAATCAACTTTTTTATCCGCCACATCCGACTGTCCAAATTCAAATGAACAAACATTACGATCCTGTAACGGCTCCATAATCTACCGAAAGATTCCACAAACCTTTGAAGGAGTCGATAAACTTCTCCTGGAGGAACCCTTTGTCTCTTTGTGCCTTAATGTGCTCCAGTGCATCCTGCACCGGAGTCAGCGGCCCGTCCAGGGCTTCTTCTTCTTCTGCAAAGAGTTCAAAAGCCAGAAAAATCACAACAGGCACGAATCAATATTTACACATAATCCTCAAAGTCTACCGCCTTGTCTGACAAACATACCGCTCATTTGAGATAAAATATCTGAATCCTCACTTTCCTCCTCAGCATTTCCGGAGCTGTTCTGCTCAGCATCAGGCTCCAGTTTATCTTGAAAAAAAAATAAAAAAAATATTTATTGATTTTCATAAACAAATAAACTGCTGTGCCCTGAGGAGGACTCTTACCCTCGAGCTCTAGCTCCTCCAGGGAGTTTCCTTCCAATCTTTCCAGGGAACCTTTCTCCATCGCCAGAAGAAGCTTTGAGATTTTGGCGAGCTCGGCGGCGGCCTCGGGGGACTGGTAGTATTCCCGATCGGCCCGGACGTCGCGGCCCAGCAGCTTGGCGAGCTGACCGAGCTCGTCGTCCTCCAGGTCGAGGATCTGGAACATCCTGGCTGCGTGTTTGTGGAAGCGAGCCGACGTGAGGCGCTCCGGGTCACCGGCCTGGCAGCTCCTGGAGTAAGAGCGGACGCAGTCCTCTCCCAGGAAGTGGCTGGGTGGGGAGGAGTCGGGCTTGGCGAACAGGAAGGGGTTTCCCTCCTGCACGCCGCACGCCGCTCTCTTCCCGATGAGCAGCGTCAGCGCGGCGGCCAGCAGCGAGGTCAGCAGGACGCTCTGCTGGCCCTCCGTGTTGATCCGGATGAAGTGCCTGGACAGCACCTGGGTGGAGTCGCCCCTCTCCTGGAAGCACTTCAGGGTCATCTTGGAAACCTCTGGAGAACCTTTGCTCAAAACGTAAGCCTGCGCCAGCGTGGCGGTGCAGAGGGAGCTGTACGGCTCGGGGCCCTCTCTCGCCTCCAGCCCCTCCACGGCCGCCGCCGAGCACCTCTCCAGGAAGGCGTAGAGCGTCTGCACATCCCTGGTGAAGGGGATGGTGGACGGGCTCCAGAGCAAAGCTGGCAACCAATACTGGCCCTCAGGCTGCACCGCATGAAAAGTGGATGCGATTCTGTAGTCAAATCACCAAACGGGCTCAGTAAACACTTCTGAAATCTGCTGTCAGAGAGCGTAGTTTGTTGCTTTTTTTGTTCATCAAAATCAGTCAACTTGAGTCCATTTAGTTTGACTCTGTTTCGACTTAACCCAAAGCGGTTTTTAAATGGAAGCCATTTTTGGGGAGGATTTTAGAAATGAATATGCTGGGTTTTTGTCGCCTTTCATACAACTAAGCTGAAGGCCACACTACAATTTTAAATGCTATAAAATCTATGACTCTGCAGTTAGTTAATCTCGGTGAAAAAATTGATTAATCTTGAGTCATTGAGTAATAACTATTTTATAAATTCTAAATAACATAAAGCCCTGCATTATAAGCAAATATGCCCTCAGGATGTAGACAAAAACTCACACCAAAGACACCACTTTAATAGTGATGAAAGAACCAAAAAATACCTATTTTAAACAGAAAAATCCCAAAGAGGCTTGATCTAAGGCTCTGCTCAATCCTTGTGTTTATATTCATACTCACCAATCAAGAACATTTCTCATTTCCTTCTGTTTACATTAAGTTTTGGTTCTGTATATTTATTTAGGGGCACGTTGGCTCTCACCTGTCCCGCTGGAGTTGACCCTTTGGACAGCCACCTGGCTCCAGGCCCCGGGTGCAGCCCCGCAGTCCACCACGCTGTGCCCGGGCTGTAAAATCCTGAACTCGTCATCCATCTCCAGCAGTTTGAAGGCGCTCCTGCAGCGAAAGTTTTGCGCATGAGAAGCTTTGACGTACGGGTCACAGAGCCATTGGTTTTCAAAATTAATCGAGTTCAAATAGAAAATTTATGAAAAAGTTATCAAAGAGCCTGCCTTTCAACAACCAATGGTCCACCAGCCATTCCTTCATGCTGGCCTTTTTACTGCTGGCCAGCATGAAGGTGGCTCTGGATGAGAGGAGTTCCCATCGCAGTCAGCAATTGTGTTCAACGTACCGAGGTTCCATCTAAAATAATAAAGGCAGTATTATCATTGAGTTCTTGACACGGTGTGGATGGCTCTGTGTGACTTCTTTATTTGAAATGACTGTGCATCTTATGTTGAGTGTTTTCATTTTGTTGACTCTTCTTAGAATCTCTTTTTGGTATTTTGGTCCAATCCTAACAACAACAAAAAATCTCATGTAACCAAAATGGTTTTTGAAAAGGTTTTTTAACCCAAGCTCATTGCCCTGTGACAGGCTTTTCCAAGAAAACTGATCAAAATTAATCTAAAAATAAAAATAAAAATTAGGATTGTCTGTAAAATGATCAATATCGTAGTTTATAAAGGCCCATATACATGTAATTCCTGTACTACAAACGTTTCCAAATATTGTATTTGATTATTATTCCTCACATTGTCACATGCAATAAGTTTTTGTAATGTTTGAGGTTCTTTCTACACAACAGAGTTTTTGTGAACTTTGTAGATATGAAAATGAGAAATAGAGCGAACTGTTAAATAGATCAAGATAAAAAAAATTGTAAGATGTGGCTGACTTTTTATGTTGATATACACACTGTTATACAGACCACTTAACACTCACGTATTTTCACACCATACATATTTAATCACACAGCACTCATTAGACATGGAATATGGGACATGACAATGTTATTCCACTTTTATTGACAATAACATATGTACACCTTTCTTTGATAAATGGACATAAAGTGAGTGTGACAGACGCAGCGGGTGCCTTTAATAGTGCACAAACATCTGAACAGAAAACCCTCATAAATTGTCAAAATAGTGTGGTCCTCAAATGCAAATTCCCCAGTTTTAGCTTCAGCATATTATTTGTGTAGATCAGAAGAATCCTAACTATCTATTATGGAGTGTGGATTACACAAATGAAAAATACGTTCAGTTGAGATGAATGTGCCTATTGAAGTCTTCACTCAGATCTGCTGTTTTCTGTTGCCTCTTCATCTGGGTGACTCGACCTCTGTTAAAAGTCCATGTTTTTGAAGTCATCAGTACATCTGTACTTGCTGTCAGTGTACCTGGTGCACACCAGGTGGGGGAGGCAGGGGCAAGAGTGATGTAGCCTCTTCCCCATGTACGGCACCTGAAAGCGTGATGGAAAAGTTAATCCGACACTTGACATCCCTAAACAAACGACAGCTGTGGCTGCAGGTCTTTAAAAGCTTTTTTTCTCTGAATTGCAAAAACGGATGTAGCGCCAGCACATCAAACTGTTGACTTGTCTTGAAAATCAAAGAGACGTATGACTTTAATCGGAGCATTCACTGTGAAGAAGATCGATACCCTCTGCAGTTATCAGCAGCTTTTCTAAAGCTTCAGCCAACCTGCCAGCACTTGATACCATCTGAGTTTCTGAAGGCAAGAGTGTTAAAGACTGAAAAGGAGTCTGATCGTGTGTGCTTGTCTGTCTTAAAGCGTGTGTGTGCTGCGGAGACTGCGATGCTGGTCGTAATATTTCAGCCCACCTTGTGGCTGAAGGGGTGGCATTCATCCCCTTCCACTCCTCTTGGAATGCACATTCTAAGGCCCCTCAGCCACAGACTGACGGCACAGCAGAGACCGAAACCGCACTGCATATCTCTCTCGCAGGCCTGCAGAAAAACAACAGGCACACCGTAACAGAAATACAGACCTAATCAAAGTTCTCTTGCTGCCGGCGCTAATAGAAACTTAGATCTTTATGCTGGAATTGGTTTCAGTTATCGACTGTAACAGGTCCACTGCCACTTTTATATAATGTCAGTAATTTTATGAATTGCCTGTCATCTTCTTAATTCACTTACGAATGACTAACAATTAAAGGACTGAGATAATTTCCTCTGGATTTACCAGTACACAGAGGTTGAAGAGGATGTGGACCACCATTAGTCAAACATAATCAAATCCAACATTGTTGTCCTGAGCTAAGTATTCTGTTTGATATCTTTACCTGTACTTCACAAAGATAAAGGATCATTATACTGTGGAAGTTTTAATGGCACACAAAAATCTTAACAGAAAATGATAGATAGATAGATAGATAGATAGATAGATAGATAGATAGATAGATAGAT